GCAGCCAGCAGAGGAGGGCCTCCCTGGGACTCAGAGGAGGGGTGCAGCCAGCAGAGGAGGGCCTCCCTGGGACTCAGAGGAGGGGTGCAGCCAGCATGGCAGGAAGGCAGGACAGCTCCTGGTGGTGGGAGCACATGGCTGAGACACTTTGTGTCTTTTATTTATTTGTTTATTTTTATTTATTTTATGCATGGATGTTTTACCTGAATGTGTATCTGGTGCCCTTGGGGTCCAGAAGAGGGCATCAGGTCCTCAAGATTAGAGTTACAATTGTGAATTGCCATGTGAAAAGCAATCAAAGGAATCAAACCCAGGTCCCCTCGAAGAGCAGCCTGAGCTCTTAACCACTGAGCCATCTCTCCAGCCCCCATGAGATGCCTCCCATCTTGATGGATAGGGAAGCACAGACCTGCTGCCATGCTGCAGAGGCTCCGCCTCAAATACCACAGCCTGCAAGAACACCACCACCAGCTAGGGACCAAGAGGGGCCATTTCACACCCAAACCATGGAACTGACTCATAGAGGCTGATTCTTCCCCTAAGCCACAGTACAAGTGGTAGACCTGGTCGGCAGCTTCATGGCCTAGTGTAGTTACATCCTCCACAAGAGGGTTCTCAGCCTCTCCAGTGACGTCACATTGTCGGGTAGGGGAACACATCACATCCCACTCTGTCTTCCCAAGAATGTTGAGAGCCAACCAGAAACCCCGCAGTCCCCGTTATTCAGAAGAGGGGGGATGGGGAGGGTCTAGTGTGGCTGGCTGCAGGGCCTGGTTCCTGAGCAGATGTCAGTGTGTGAGGTGGTTTCCGGTCTGTAGGTGTCAGGTGTGGTCGCAGACCCTTTCCCTGATCCCGAGTTTCTCACTGCAGTCAGCCAGCCTGGACGCTGACTAGGGGCAGGGCAGGTTGAACTGAACGAGACAGTACTGGAGTGCCGGGTAGGGAAACAGGTATAGCCAGAGGTGGTTATTGAGGGAACAAAGCTAACCTATCCGCTGACTCTACCTAACACTGCCAGAACCCACCCCAGGGTGCTCGGGCTCAGTGGTCTTTCTCTAGACACAGCCCCAGGCTGGGGAAAGGGGACAGGAGGGGAAGGCGTGGCACTAGTGAAGTCCTGCCCTGAGTAGGTTGTCTGGTCCCATCACGCAGGGCCTCTTCCTTACTGAGCCTGGGGAGCTAGCTGGTGAGGGATTCCACCTGGAAGGCTCTCGATAGAGATGCGATGTGGGCAAGATATCAGACCGTCTTCCTAAGGTCAAGAACACGTGGTGCCTCCTGGGAAATTTTTCCTGCCGTGACCAGAGGACTGGGTGACACAGGGCATCTGTGGGGCCCACCAGCACCTCCGTAAGGTTCAGGTGGTCCTCAGAGCCTCCTGGATCACCATGGTGATAGCTAGGAGCACTGTGGGTCCGCCTCCATCTGCCTTTCCTGTTGACGGTGTTCATGGCCTGTTGGGTCTTTCGTCTAGATTCTTGCTCACCTCTGGCACCTGGGCTACTCACCAGAAGACGTCATCGGCAACATCTTCCGAGTGTGTAAAACCTTCCCCATGGCCGAATACCTGAAGCTGGAGTTCATCAAGGTTCGTCAGGGCTCGGGAATACCTTGTGCACTTCTGCCCTCCTCGGAGTCCAGTCTGCTGGCGTCGCCCAGGCTGGGATTACAGGCGCGTGCCACCACACTCCCTGCACTTGTGCAGTGCCTGCCAGCTCTGCTGTAACGTGTCCACGCCTGGCCCTCATCCCTGAGCAGCATCCTGCTGTGTGGCTGTGTCACGGTCACTTGTTCTCTAGGAAGGGCGCTTGGGTTTCTGTGGATGAAAGTCACTGCACACTGGCACCCATGAAACGGCATGGCTGCCACATTCCTGTTCTACTTGGGTGGGCTCCCAGGTGGGAGACCAACTCAGACAGGTGTACACGTAACTTTATAAGAATTTGACTGGGGCTGGGCAGTGGTGGCACACACCTTTAATCCCAGCACTCGGGAGGCAGAGGCAGGCGGATCTCTGTGAGTTCAAGGTCAGCCTGGGCTGCAGAGTGAGTTCCAGGACAGCCAGGGCAACACAGAAACCCTGTCTTGAAAACCAAAAACAACAAAAAATTTGACTGGGGATGGCTCAGTTGTTAGAGTACATACCTCGAGTGTGCAAAGCCCTGGGTTGATCCTCAGCCCTGCATAAGATAGGGTACTGCTGGGTATGGTGGTGCATACCTTCAGTGCTCCATAGTGAGACTTTGGTTTAAAACAGCAGCAGCAAAAGTAACTGAGTGTCCTTTCGTTTGCCCATAGTTCCACACCTGGAGGTGGAGGCAGGAGACTCAGAAGCTCGGGGCTATCCTCAGCTACATAGTGGGTTGGAAACCAGCCTGGGTTCTGTGAGACCCTAGCAGGCTGGGGCTGTAGCTTGTGCTGGAAGCTCGGGGTTTGCCCCCTAAGCTGGAACACCCTTTTCCAGCATGAGCTGAACCGGAGTGAAGCCAGGTCCAGCCTCTTCCTGTCCTGCGTTTTGAGGTCATTGTGGTGGATTGCACCAGTTTAGACGGAAAGGAGCCGACAGTCCCGGCCTACCCATCATTCCTTTCGGCTTGTGTTTCAGGAGATTGGATACACTCACATGAAAGTGGCTTACCCACCGTTCCTTTCGGCTTGTGTTTCAGGAGATTGGATACACTCACATGAAAGTGGCGGAAGGTGTGAACTCCTTGCTGCAGATGGCTGGGCTCCTGGCCAGGCTGTGTCAGAAGACCATGGCTCCGGTGGCCAGTTGAGATGGCCTCCAGTGATGAAACTAGGAGGGTCCTTGTCACCGAGACACCGATGGCCCAGCTTTCCAGTCGTGGGGAGATGTGCCCAAGACATTGTTAGAACATTCTCGCTTTGGTTTTTGTTCTGGGAGAACAGGACTGACCTTGAACTGCTGACCCTGCTCTGCCTCCTGAGTGCTGGGGTTACAGGTGTGCCACCACGCCTGGTTTGTGCAGTGCTTGGGGTGGGACCCAGGGCTTGTGCCTGTCAGGCGAGCAGTCTGCCAGCTGGCCGACAACCTCGCCCCTGGCTGAGTCTGGAGGGTTCCATGCTGCTCTTCTGCTCTTCGTTTCTGAATTCAGCTTCAGAGCCTGGATATGGAGCATGGTGGGAAGGCCCCGACCTCCTCAGACTTGGGGTTGTAGCTGATAAAGCCTTAGGGTGTTGTTCTTGCAATGCTTAAAGCATCGTCTTGCTTCTGCCTGTTGGACCTGTGGCCAGTGAGTGCAGCAGATGAAGGTCTGGCCACACACCTCACCACTGGAGTGCCATCTCCAGAACCCACAAGAAGGTGGAAGAAGAACTGACTCCACAAAGGGGTTCCCCGGGCATCTAGGCGTGGTGGCACACCTCTCTAATCCCAGCGCTTGGGAGGCAGAGGCAGGAGGATTTCTGAAGTCAAGGCCAGCTTGGTCTACATAGTTCTGGGACAGCCAGAACTGCAGTACCTGAGGAGACCAGGAGAGGACAATGGATCCCTTGGAGCTGGATTTGCAGATAGTTTTGAACCTAGGACCTCTGCAGGAACAGCCAGAACTGCCTAGCCATCTCTCCAGTCCACAGACCTAATGCCAAGCACTCAGGCTAAGTTCGGAGCTAGGCCCTGTTACAGTGAGCCCAGGCCAGCCTGGGCAATGAGACCCTCTTGTGTCAGTCTGACCGTTGGGTCCTGGGTGTTCCTTCTAATATACTAACGTGTCGTTTCTTTTCCAACTTGTATTCGGTTCTTCTCAGAACGAATTTGTGATGTCCGGGGAAGGGGCTGGGCATCAAGTACACAGCCCGTTCCTCTCTGGACCTCAGGGTTCCTGTCTACGAAGTAAGAACTTGGATCTTAAGCTAGGCGGTGGTGGCACACACCTTTAATCCTAGCATTTGGAGGGATGGGGGGATCTCTGAGTTTGAGACCAGCCTGGTCTTAAAAAAGGAGGAAAAAAACGGGGAACCTTGATCTTCATTTCCAGCTAAGGTCTTTACCAGAGCCAGGCACAGCATCCCCACACCTGGGATGCTGAGGCAAAGGATTGCCATGAGTTCAATGCCAGCCAGCCTGGGTTCCAGAGTGAGACTCACATGGCTGACAAGATGGCTCCCTAGTAAAGGCACTTGTCACACCAGCCTGTCACCCGCGTTTTGTCCCTGGGGCCCTCCTGAGGGTGGAAGGGGAGTCGGCTGCAGAGCTGTCCTCCGACCCATGCCCGAACACTAATAAAAGGGGAGGTGGCCTGCTATGTCAACGGGAGGACCTGGGGTGGAATCCACAGAACCCAAGTGAAAGCCATGTGCAGTGGCGGGCGCCTAGGATCCTAGTGCTGGCAGGTAGGAGACAGGGTACCTGGGGCTCCATGGCCAGCGAGTCTACACAGTCGGCAAGCTACAAGTTCAGTGACGGACCCTTGTTCAGAAAACAAAAGAGATGAGCTGGCTCAGCAGGTGAGCACGAACTGGGTTCCAGAGGACCCTAGCTGGGTTCACGTGGGGCAGCTGGCAAAGGTCTGGAATTGAGTTTCAAGTGTTCTGATGCCTTCAGAACTGGGATGTACTCAAACACAATATTTTTGTTTTTTGCAACGGGGTTTCTCTGTGTAGCTTTGGAATCTATCCTGGAACTTGCTCTGTAGACCAGGCTGGCTTTGAATCACAGACCCACCTGCCTCTGCCTCTTTAATCCGAGTGCTGGGATTAAAGACCTGCACCACCACTGCCAGGCCCACACACAATATTTTTAAACTGGAGGCCGGGTGTGGTGGTGCCTTTAGTCCCAGTACCCAGGAAGCAGAAGCAGAGAAGTGTCTTTAAGTCCAGCCTGATTAATATAGCAAGTTCCAGGTCAGCCAGGGCTACACGATGACTATCTTAAAAAGAATAGGAGAGCAACAGAGGGAGACACTCGGCCCTGTGGACACACAAAGGGTGTTTAAGCAAAAGTAGACAGTGCCTGTTCTTAAACTCAGGGTTTATTGATTGATGGGTGAGGGGCCGGTTTGTTTCCCTCTCACTGACCCACAAGGAATGGAAGAGGGGCAAATGGGAGCCCACAAAGAAGGAGACTCCAGGTTACCCTACATCTGTTAAAGTTAGGACATGTAATGCTCTCTGGGAGACAGGAAGTCCCCCTGACATTGGCAATATTAAATACGGCTCCAGCAATTGACGTTAACTACAGCAACAGTCACGGAACGTTCCCAGAAATCAACATTCATAAGCAATTTGAATCCAAACAATGAAAAAAGATAGAAGGTCAGGCGTAGTGATACACCCTGTGATCCCAGCACTAGGGCTGAGGCTGGAGGATTGCAAGTTTGAGACCAGCCTGAGCAATTTAATGAGACCCTATTGCAAAATTAAGAAAAAAAAAGACAAATGCCAGTGTTGTGACATATTTTAGGTGTGGTACTGGAGACACAGCTAGCCTCAGGTCCTGGGCTTCCGGTCAGCACAGCCAATATTTCCAGGTACCTGCTTTGCTCCCAAAAAAGTCCAGGGCATTGCTCGGGGGTTGCAGCCTTGACGAGCCCCAATGTCTCCCAGGAAGTTCTGGAACCCCTCCCAGGAGCAGCCACAGCCAGGTCTGAAGCTTGAGCATCCCTGGAAAATAGGCTTCAGCAGGCAGTGAACGCTTCAGCTCATGACTCCGGTGGGCCCTTCAACAAAGAAGAGAGATAGGAGGCAAAGGTTAGGGGCTGGAGAGATGTCTCAGAGAGTAAAATACCCGATACACAAGTGTGAGGACCTGAATCCAATTTCCAGAACCCACATACAGGCAGGCATAGTGGTGCACGCCTTTAACCCCAGCACTCGGGAGGTAGAGGCAGGAGGATCTCTGAGTTCAGGACCAGCCTGGTCTACGTAGCGAGTCCCAGGCCAGCCAAGGCTACATAGTGAGAGCCTGTCTCAACAAAACAAAACATAGAGGAAAGCCTGCCAGGTGTGCTGGCACACACCTGCAATCCCAGCATTCCACAGGGGAAGGCCGGAAGAAGAAGGGAGCAAGACCCGGATTCACTGTCCCTCTGCAACCCCAGCATTCCTCAGGGGAAGGCCGGAGGAAGAAGGGAGCAAGACCCGGATTCACTGTCCCTCCATGTCAGCCAAGAGCTCCAGTGCAGGCTCTGGCCAGCTGACCTCCAACCTCTCCCATGCCCTCTGCCAGAGGCGGACATCTCCTATCTCCCATCTGCTCTTCCGGGATGTCCTTTCCAGTGAGGAGGCAGAGAGCACATTAGTCCCTGTCACCCCTATCACAAGGCACAACCTTCTTCTCCTGTCTATCACCAGGCCTTATCACTAGGGAACATGTTACATTTTTGGTTTGGGGATTATTTTATTTATTTATTTATTTATTTTGAGACAGGGTCTCACTCTAGACCAGAACTCAGAAATCCACCTGCCTCTGACTCCTGAGTACTGGGATTAAAGGTGTGCACCACCATGTCTGGTATATTGAATTTTCTTATGTTTTATTGCTTATCTGATTTCTTTGTTTTATTTTCCCATCTTTCCTTCTTTCCATTCGTGTGTGTGTGTGTGTGTGTGTGTGTGTGTGTGTGTGTGTGTGTGTGTGTGTGTCTTCCTGTACCACTGTCTCCCTAGAGCTTACTCTTTCTGCTAGGCTGGCTGGTCAGTGAGCCCTGAGATCTACCTCCCCAGCACCAGGTGACAGGGGTGTGCTGGGGATCTGAACTCACACCCTGTGCTTACACTGAGCCATCTCTCAAGTTCCCTTTCTATCATTTAAGACCAGATCTCTGCTTCATTATGTAGCCCAGGCTGGTTTTGAACTCCTGATCCTCTTGTTTCTACTTCTTCAGTGCTGAGATTCACTCAGGAGGGAGTCATGTGTCATCATGCCTGGCTTCATTTTTTTTTTTTTTTTTAGTTTCTTGAGACAGGGTTTCTCTGTGTAGCTTTACGCCTTTCCTGGAACTCGTTCTGTAGACCAGGCTGGCCTTGAACTCACAGAGATCCGCCTGCCTCTGCCTCCCGAGTGCTGGGATTAAAGACGTGCGCCACCACAGCCCGGCATGGCTTCTTCATTTTACATCTTCCTTTTTTGTTCTTTTTCGGTGCTAAGATGGAACCCAGGACTTCACGTATGCCAGACAATTGCTCTACTGCGGAGCCACGCCTCCGTCCTCCACTGGTGGATTGTACGGCAAGTGCTCTACCATAGACATCTCTGCTGGACACCCCCAGTGCCCCTGACCACGTGTGTGCTTCACCTGTCATGTGGGTGAACCTCTCTTCTGGGTCCCCTAGTCCCACAGGTGCATCTCCCTTCTGGTCCTAATAGCGAATGAGCACCCATGGGGGTCTCCATCACTCCATGAGGCTCCCCCACACACACTGCACAGGGCCCTTCCTTGACTTGGGCCCCTCACTTTCTTGAGAGTGCTGTACCTTCCTTCCGATTGATTCTCTCCTAGACGTGCTCAGCAGCGGCCACATCCCCGTTCACGTAATCTGGCTCCTCATCTGGGCTTTCTAACAGGGACACTTGTGCGCCTATGAGGCAGGACAGGTGTTGTTGGGACAGTTCACAGGCACACACCAATGCTGTTCCCCAGCCAGGCTGCTCAAGACCCCACAAAGGACACGGGGGAGCTGTCACGCGGCACGGGACTCGTGGTGTCTGCCTGTCACTGCTGTTTTTTCAGAAATCCTCCTGCTCCAAGACTGGGTGACCAGCTCTGGAGGACGAGCTGCTACCAAGGGGAGTTCCAGTCGAGTGCAAGGCTTCTGCAGCCTTGGGTACCATGGAGGCTCCACTGTGAAGTCAGCCAGATTGGCTGGAGGGGAACCCACCCAGGCCGACCCTCCTGGATCAGCCCACTGCCTGCTTGAGTTACACCACCACTACCATCACCACTACCCCACTCCACCCCATCACCACCACCACCACCACCCACTACCCCACCCCACTACTCCTGGCAGCCTCTGCCCACGGGGGACATACCCACAGTCCTCCTGGATTCTCGCCACTCTCGGATAGATATTGAGTTCTGATAATCCTCAGATTCCTCGTCACCTAAGGGAGGATATAGGGACACTCTGAGTAGATCCAGGGAGCCAAGGGCCAGCCTTCTTCCGCTGAGGGTGACCCCATGAGGGTGGATAATCCCCTGGATGGCTCCTCCCTTGGGTGAATTTGACCCAAAGGCACCAGAGACATGGAGAATGCAGGCAAGGGCTGAGTCTTGGGAACTCACTTGGAGAATGCAGACAAGGGCTGAGTCTTGGGAACTCACTTCTTGCTCGTGAGGATGGGCTAGCTCAGGGTGCTGGCCCCTGTTCTGCCTTTCTCGGGAGAGACAGCCTTACCTGAGTCGGGCGTGCTGGGCTTGCAGATGAGCACGTTCTCGTAGGAGTTGGAATCATCGTCTGTTAACAGAAGGGAGCTGGCAGGGCATCTACTGGTGGACCCTGCCTGCAAGCCCCCTGCCCCTTCCCCCTTCC